GGCTCATGTTCAGGCGGCTGCCAACCAACACCCCCAGGTCCTTTTCCGCCAGGCAGCTCTCCAGCCACTCCTCCCCAAGCCTGTAGCATTGCATGGGGTTGTTGTGACCCAAGTGCAGGACCCAGCACTTGGCCTTGTTGAACCTTAGTCTGTCTGCTCTGGCTATGTTTTAACTCTGGGTTTCGCACATCTAGGTTCCCTTCTGCATTTCCAGCTGGAGAGATTCTTCACACCTTTGGGCATCATGCTGGTCCTGAATAGCTTCTGGTACCCAGCTGAGCGTAGCTGCGGTTCCTCTCAGGGTAAGTAATCACAACATACAGGCAGAAGCGTGAAATGTACCTTGAGGAAAGGCTGTTTGTGAAGATAGGTGCTCATTGATAGAATCAGATACAAAAAACCCCCAGAAATATAAACTTCAGAAATGGGACAAGTTATCCGCGTGAGTGTATACACATGCTGACTATGGAAAGGATGGTATTTAGCTGGTACATTTCAGGATGCGTGAACAGGAATACACTGCTTTCTGGTTCTTGTGTATCATGCAAAATGACAATCAGTAAACTGAAACCAGCCCGAAACACAGCTTTGCTGAATTGGTTAGTAAAAATAACGTTATGCAATGTTCCTAATGATTTAACAGAGGTATTCAGGAGTATCAGTTTTATTTTAATCAGTTGCAAATTTTTCTTTATGGTAAACTGTTTATTTGAATGTATTTTAAAGTCTCATAAAGAAGGGTGGTAAGGAAATTAAACATGCTACAACTAGAGATGTAGATACTTTTGCTTTTTACAGCTCTGTGCGCACTGGAGTCAGTTCTGACGAAAGGTGATGGTGTATTTGATTTTGTCCATTCAGCAAAGGTTTTTCATGGATTATATTGGAAGTAAAACTGCCACTGGTTTGCATAATTTAGTTCTCAATTTGATTGTGATATTATTGTTCTGTCAGCAAGTGCCTTAGTTTATTCATTTTTGTGGATTAACGCCCAGCAATGGGAACTTCTCCTTTAACTTGAAGACAAGACAGTATCAGCTGACAAGCAAACTCTTGCTGCTTCTTG